GTTTTAGAAAAGGGTAGAGTCTTTTAGAAGACTTTTAGAAAAATGCAATGTCGTAATTGCATGTGGCTGGTACATGTAGGCTGCGTTTGGTGCTACTGAAGGCTCCCCCTTGGCTCTCCCGACCCTCGGCCTCGCAGCACTGCCTTCTCGGGGTTCTGCTTTATTGGTCTTGCCGGTGGGATTTTCCTGCTCAGTCTGGGCTTTGGTTTCCCTCCAAAGTTTTCTGTCCTTGAACTTGATTTTGGAGATTTCCTACCTTTTCTTTCTTTCTTTTTTTAAAGATTTGATTTCTTTATTTGACAGAGAGAGAGAGCACAAGCAGGGGGAGAGGCAGAGGCAGAGGCAGAGGGAGAAGCAGGCTCCCCGCTGAGCAGGGAGCCTGACATGGGGCTCGATCCCAGCACCCCGGAATCATGACCCGAGCCGAAGGCAGATGCTTAACCGACTGAGCCACCCAGGCGCCCCTGGAGATTTCCTACCTTTTCATCCTTTCTCTGATTATGGCTCTAAAATGTGTGCTTCTAGCTCTGATCCCTCTTACTCTTCACAGCTTATATATTTGGATGACTCACAGGCATCTCATACTCCTCATTTTCAAGACTTGTATTCATCTCCTTTCCCCAGCCGTCCCACTGTTGATCCGCTACTGCTTACATTTCTGTCTCGGTTGAAGGCACCCAAACTCTTTCACCTTCTTTCACTGCAGCTCCTCTGATTCGTGCCTTTATTCTCCAGGACTTGGATGCCGAAGCCCCTGCGCTCTATTAAGACAGATTTTGGCTGCTGGGGAGGACTGGAGGAGTAGCTGCTGCTGCCACCGTCTGGGCAGTTGGGAGCTGGAAATCCTAGCTGTCGGCTTGGGCCCCACACCTTAGCCACCTTACTCCTAGGAGTAAAGGATTCTCTCTACTTTCTCTTATCTGATTGCCTCCCGTCTGGTTCCTGCTGCCTTTAGCATAATGTTATTTTCTAAAACACTGGGATGCGGTGTGCATTCAAATGCACATGAAGTTTCCTCACCAGCAATTTGACTTCAAGGCCCTGCCCTCATCTCCCCACTCCCACCCTGCTCTACTCAGTGGCTGATGGTTCCCTGATGAACACCTGCTGCTTTGGGTGCTTGTTCAAATGATGTGGTGTCAACCATTCTGAATCTCCCTTCTCCCGCCCCCCCCCATCCTTTTGCTAGTACTACCCTGTCTTGATTACTATTACTTTGTACTAAGTTTTGGAATTGAGATGTATGAGCCCTCCAACTTGGTTCTTTTTCAAGATTGTTTTAGCTGTTCTTGGCTACTTTGAATTTCCATGTAAATTTCAGGATCAGCTTACAAAATTCTGTATAAAAAGCAGTAGAGATTTTGGTAAGGATTGTGCTGAATCTCTACATCAATTTGGAGAACTTTGTCATTTTTAATGGTAGTAAGTCTTACAATCCATAAACGGGATGTTTTTCTACTTATTTAGATCTTTAATACCTTTAATGTTTTATGGTTTTCACGGTACAAATTTTACACTTCTTGTTGTCTCGTCCTAAGTAGTCTTTTTTTTCAACGGTGGACCAGACAGTGGTGGGCAGCGGAGCACCGCTTACTGAGTAACAGCAAAGTGATAGTACAAAGCTCCTTGGGAGGAGGGACCCGAGAGGGTTGCTTAAGTATTATTTCTGATAATGTTGTAAATATAATTGTTTTATTGCTAGTGTATAGAAATACAGTTGATTTTTTTTGTATATTTGTCTTCCATCCTGCAACTTCTGCTGAACTGTTCTGTTTTTTTTAGTGGATTCTTGGGGATTTTCTATACCGTCATCATCTTATACAGTCATCACCTGCAGATAAAAGTCTTTTTATTACAACATTATTTTTAAATTCAAAGCACAGATATATGAAATTAAATTTCAGGGAGATTACTACATGAGATTACATCATTCTCCTGAGTTATTAAAATACCTCTATTTTCCCTGCGGCTCTGATGTCTTAGAAGTAGTAGGATCATTTGTTTTCATGGTGTCATTTTCCTATATAGAAACCTTCAGTGGCTCCCCATGCCCTTAATGGCACAAATCTAGATTTCCCCGGACTCTTTTTTTTCCAAAGTACTGCATAATACATGTCAGAGAAAACAGCATGGAATGGTGAACGGAACCTGGGGATTAGTTGGGAGTCCTGACTTCTCACCAGCTGTGGATGGGCAAATTTGGAGGTAATCTTTCTCTTGTAAAATTGCAACATTGGACTTAAAACAATTTTTTTAAAAAGGTTTATTTATTTATTTGACAGAGAAAGACATAGTGAGAGAGGGAACACAAGCAGGGGGAGAGGGAGAAGCAGGCTTTCTGCCGAGCTGGGAGCCTGATGTGGGGCTTGATCCCAAGACCCTGGGATCATGACCTGAGCCGAAGGCAGATGCTTAACGACTGAGCCACCCAGGTGCCCCAAAACAATTTTTTTTTTTTTTTTAAAGATTTTACTTCTAAGTAATCTCTACACCCATGGTGGGGCTTGAACCCACAACTCTGAGAACAAGAGTCATACGCTCTACCAACTGAGCCAGCCAGGAGCCCCTGGACTTTTAGTGTGTGTGTGTGTGTTTTTTTTTAAATGTTAATCTTATTTGTTAATTTTTAAAAAATATTTGTCAGAGAGGGAGAGAAAGAACACACAAGCAGGGGGAACGGAGGGAGAGGGAGAAGCAGGCTCGCTCGCTGCTGAGCAAGGAGCCTGATACGGGGCTCGATCCCAGGATCCTGGGATCGTGACTGAGCAGACGCTTCACTGACTGAGCCACCCAAGCGTCCCCGGACTTTTAATTTTTTAAGCATATTTTCCTGTAGTTCTTTGAAGATGTTTATAATAGCTGCTTTGATGTCTTGTCTGAGTCTTGACATTTGGGCCCTCTCAAGGATGATTTCTTTTGCCAGCTTTCTCCTCCTGTGTTTGGGTCTTCCTTTATCTGCATGCCTCAATTTTTTGTTTAAACTGCACATTTAAGATCTTTTATAGCATTTCTTAGTGCTGATTCCCCCCCTCCCCATTTCCCTGGCTTCTTGTGTTACTTGCTTGTCTATTTGTTTAGTGACTTGGTTGGCCTGTTTCAATGCATTTTACACACACATTACCCCCCCCCCCACCAGTGTACATCCTTTGATGTTGCTCCTCAGTGGGCACAGGCTTGGGAACACACAGGGTTCCCTTGAAGTGCCCTCTTTAGGGGATGACAGCATGGTTTTAGTAGGACTTTGGACCATTTCTTTCTCTGATCTCCTTGTTAAACTGCTAAGTCGGCCTCTGTTGGTTCACACCCGGCAATTATTCTCCACTGATAGCTGATGGCGTTACTGTATTCGAGCCCTCGGCCATAAATTGCCCCACAGTGTGATCCAGTTAAGTTAGATGGCCTTTGTAGGGGTTGAGGCCAGTCTTTGAGCTGCCCTGACTCTAGAAGAGCTCTTATTCTTTTCTCTTTTCTCTGATTCTGTTAAACTTCTGTTTGGTCTACTCTTTTCCTTGTTACTATCATGGAACTACCAGCCTCGTCTTAATTGCTCATCGCCAAAGTCTCCATTGTTTTCCATAGTGCCACGTGGCTTGAGTTTCCCTGTTCTCTGTTCCAACTAAAGTCAGTCCACTTAGGGATTGCTGAGGGGCTGTCTGTCCTTACAGCCTGCCTTGGACTGTGTAGAACCTGCAAGCCATTGCTCCAGAGCCAGGGGCAGGGACAGCAGCTTGTCCTCTGTTCTGTGAGTGGGGTCATGGCCTGCGGCTGTTGCCTCTGCTCTTCCCTGTTTGGAGTTTCTGTCTCTCTGCAGTTAACATTATGAGCAAGCCGAGGCAAGGACAAATGGGCCAAGTATTCTTGGCCCGCTGTGCCTACAGTAGAGTTTCCTCACATTTCTTGGCCACATGTGCCTGGAATAGAATTTCTCCAATATGGAGGTGAGGGTAGGAGATGAGAAGGCTAGAAATCAAAACCCTGGATTTGGAGCTGGTTTAAATAATTAGTAGTTTGCTTCAGTCCCCCCCCCCCCAAATATTATTTACGTACCTACCCCACAAAGGCCGTTTCCTCTGTCTGGAGTGCTCAGTTTCCCCCAGATAGGCACATGGGCCACTCTCCCTCTTGTATGTCTTTGCTCAGGTATGCCTGGCCAGAGAGACTCCTGTGGACCACCCTTGTACTAGAGCGTCTCTCCGACCTTGCCCTTTCACTTTGTGTTCCCTTTCCCAGGTTCATTTTTCCTCAGAGGATTTGCCATCACCTGGCATGCATACGTACATTAGTTCATCATCTTCTCCCAGTGAATGTGTAGGCTCCCTGAGAGAAGGAACAGAGACTGTTGTTCGCTGTTGTAGTTCCTGTACTTAGAACAGGATCTAACACGTAGGAGATTGTCAGTAAATCTGATGAATGCAAAGTAGAAATGGCCAGAGTTTACTGCCTTCTTGCGTCACAACTTAACCGGCCAAACTGAAAAATACCACCATAGGAAGTGAATTCTGTGTTGTTCACCAACAACTAGTTCCTTGTTGCTGCCTAGAGTGAGAGAATGGAGTCCACTGGGAAAGAATGCAGTGGTTATTGAACAGGCTGCTGGGGCTGCGAGGGAGGAGAATGGTGTATCTGCAAAGCACTTGCCATCCCTGAGGGATGAACAGGAAATTGGTACATTCTTGGTCTTGATTCTGATGTCGGTCTTCTGACTTGCTCTCTCATCACCACCGGGAAGTGTTTGTGGGCACTTGGGGTTAAGTTGGAAAAGCCACCTGTTCGCAGAATGATGTAGAAACTCTCTCTGTGGTGATTTCCATTGCTGATGGTTGTAAGAGACGCACTCGACCATATTGGAGTGGACTGGACATCGCTGGAGGCCAGGACCATCGGCTGCTTGATTGGGGAAAAAAAACCTCATTTGCCTATCTAATATGAAGATTTTTTTTCTTTACAGTTATTTTAAAATGACTTTGAACTAATACCTTTTTTCCCCCCCTTCCTTCTAGATTCTGGAAATCCGTTAATTCCACTTTTTGAGCACTTATGAATAACCACGTATCTTCAAAAACATCTACCATGAAGCTAAAACAGACCATCAATCCCATTCTTTTGTATTTCATACATGTTCTAATATCACTTTATACTGTTTTAACGTACATTCCATATTATTTTTTGTTTGAGACAAGACAAGAAAAAGCAAACAAAATTAAAGCAAAGCCTGTAGATTCAAAACCTGAGTCTGCATACAGATCTATTAACAGTTTGGATGGTTTGGCTTCAGTATTATACCCTGGATGTGATACACTAGATAAAGTTTTTATGTATGCAAAAAACAAATTTAAGGACAAAAGACTGTTGGGAACACGTGAAATTTTAAATGAGGAAGATGAAGTACAGCCAAATGGAAAAATTTTTAAAAAGGTAAGGTGATCTTTAATTGCCGTTGTCTTTCTTCTGAGTAAAATGTTCTCTCAGAAATGGCAGCAAGGGACAAGGGCAGCCTGCTGCTGTCGGATGCGGCTGGTGTGGCAGGAGAAGCAGGGTGGGCAGGGGACCATGCTCTGATCTCCTGTCCTCTCCTGCAAAGGATTTGTTCTGAATTGTCACAGACCGGCCAGAATGCCCCCTGACCCGAGTTGTCTGCCACGGCTTGGAATAAAATGTCTAGTGCAGTTTTGGGTCTGAAACCGTATTCCTGGTGGTCCCACAAGCACCTGTGTGTGCTTGAGATGGTTCTGGGTTTTGAGATGGGAGGCCTGCTGTTCCTGATTTTATCATAGGTTCCATTGGGTGCTTAATATCTTGGTATTTTGGTAGTGGCAGTTGCATAGTTTTTTTAAGAATTTCTCTTCACCATTATATATCAGTTGCCATTGTTGATTTGAAACAGGGGATAAGACATCCTTAGAGGCAGTATAAAATAGTGGTTAAGAACCTAGATTCCAGATCCAGACTACAGGTTTGGATCTCAGCTTTGCTACCTACTAGTTAGCTGTGTGACTTTGGAAAAGTAATTTAACAAATTTGCCTCAGTTTCTTTATCTGTAAGATGAAGATAATGATTACTGCTGATATTTACATTAGCATTTCTTATGAGCCAGGCTGTTTTAAGTTCTTTACATGTACCAACTTACTTAAGACTTAAATAGCGCTATGAATTTGTCTTATCATTGTTATTTTGCAGATAACGGCCCAGAGGCACCAGATAGGTTAACTTAGGCAAGGACATTCCAGCTAGAAGTTGTAAAGCCAGGCCTAGACCCGAGGTTGTCTTGCTCCATACACAAACACACACATTCTCTCTCTCTCTCTCTCTCTTTCCCTCTTTCTCTCTCTTTCTCTCTCTCACACACACACGTAGAACAGCTGTGGTGTCTCGTGTAAATGCTCTAGTTTTTGTCTTGGGAATTGGGTGGGCAAAATTATATGAGTGACTACAAAAGACATGGGGTAGTGCAACGTTATGAAGGATAGTGAGTATAGAAATGGCACAAAAATGCTGTTTTTGAACTTGGATTCATGACTCTTCGAAGCCGTTTTCTAAGCTCCAGTAGGTAGAAATTGAAGATTAAATTTTTTAGAGGCAGTAAGATGATCAGTAATCATCTTTGATAATTTGTCAGGTTATAGTTTATTACGTGTGTAGGCAAAGTTATTTTTGTCTTTCCTTTTTCCAACTACATCCTGACTCCAGCCACCTTTTTTCTTTTAGTCACGAAGGAACTCTCAAGTCTCAGAGGAATGTTCAAATAATCACACCATGGAATGAAATACTCAGAGCTTCTCCTGTGACTGCAGGACCAGGGGGGTGTTATTTAACTTAATGGCCCATTAATTTTGGCACTCATACACACAAATTCCAGAGTCATTTTCTTTCAAACGTAAAGGAAATGGCAAGCAAGTTAACGCCAGTAACTCCTAGAAATTAAAAACACATTATTCTAATTGTAGACGACAAAATCTGTAAGTGTCCATCCCCTTTATATAGAGTGATCTTGTATCTTGTTCTGCCTGAAACTGTCCTTGTTTATCTTGCTTTGCCTGTCACATAAACAGTGCCTCCTTACAGTCTCAAAAGTGGCTTGGGGAAATGATATGGTCCTTCGACTTTTAAGGCATATTCTCTGTTTCTTTTGATGACTAGTTTTGCCTCACTTGAATCAATTTTTTTCTGTTAACTTAAGGTCTGTCTGGAGAGTTAATAGCACATTTGTTGAAATTGAAGTCATGTAGTTAAGCATGTTTGTTTACTCTTCTCTAACCTATAGATTACAACTTGCAAAACATTATGTCATAATGGTGTCTGAGTTTTTGTGATATATATTTGCTCCTTTTTAGGGTATACCATCCTTGATTTCATCTTTGAGAGATCTGGTAGTTATAAAAGATACCAAAAACACTACACTTTTTGAGTGCTAAAGTTTTCCACTCGTATGCCTCCTCTTAAAAACATTCATTTTTGTTTCTTGGTCTAATGCTATTTGAATTCAAAGATTGGGTTCCCTTGTTTTTAATCTCAGCATATGTAACAGAAATCCTCTGTTAGCAGGAGGTGTTTCTCCAGAATTGCATGTTACAGGCTTTTTATGGGACTGGCACTATTTCTCAGTCCTCATTCAACACTTAGAGCAACAAAGTAGCTTCCAAGTATATAAAAAGGAGATCAGTATGGTAAATACGAAATTCCTTCTTAATTCAGTTTATCAGTGTAATTAGGACAAAATCCTAGAGCTTTCACAGTTCCTTAAATGTGGCCAGATAACACAGTGTACACACGGAAAGTGTTTTTCCCCGTTGCGTGGTTGCATATGTGGCCTTTTCCTTCCTGTGCTGCCTGCCCATGGTGGCTTTGTTGTAGTCGTTGTTTATTTAACAAGGAAATGCGTGAACTCAAATAGGAAAGCTAGAAGGTGCAAAACCTCTTTAGCCTTTTCTGCCTACGGGATCTCACTCTGCCCTTCTGTTGACACTGGCCTTCGAATTGGCGTTTGTGACTCATCAGACTTCTGAGGAAGTCTTTACAGAATAGGGTGTATTCTGATACAGAAAATATTATACTCTTCCTATTTGAAATTAGGCTCATTGGGAAAGTAAAAGTTTTAGTTTCCTGTGTAGTAAATGAAGCACGTTTTCGGTCAGCCTTACGCAAGAAGAGGGTGACTTGAGTTCCTGTTGGTCTGTGTCGCTGTGGTAGCTGTGGTCTGCGTACTGGGCAGTGGGTACCTCAGCTGGGTGTTAGAAACAACTCGGCTCCCCCCCCCCCCTTTTGGTTTCTTGTTTATACCCACTGTATTGCGGCAGGAGCAGCATCTGCTCTGATACAAGAGTAAAAAGGGGACATTGCACAACTGGTGCTTAGGTAAGAGTGGAGTTGCCTGGGCTGGTGCGGCTTCCTCTGAGTGCTTACTAACTGGTGCACACGCGTGTTTCCCATGAATGTATCGTCATTAATAGTTTCCATATTTGAAAATAACCTTAAATTAAAAAAGCCAGCTGGTGGTGTAGCAGTGTCTACAAATTTCCTTCCTTCCTGTTTTGGGGGCTAGGCTTAGGGATTAACCCCAGAAGGAATCTGATAATGGTTGAATCAAAGATACCCAGACCTTCAGGCCATCTTCCTCACCTGCCTCGTAACACCCCGTCTCCTTTCTGTGGTGCGGTTGGAGCCTTGTGATTTAGTGCTTAGATCCCAGGATGAGTCTGCCCGGGTTCACGTCCTGGTCCTGTCACTTACGCTGTGCGATTTTGGGGCACGTTCTGCTGACTCTCTCGATGCCTCAGTATTCTCATTTGTACGGTAGGGTCACTAAGAGTAACACTGTCTAGAGTTAGAATCTCCTAAGCTACTGCTGCAGCGCGCTTAGCACAGAGTGAACTTGGCAAAGCTTAGCCACCCTCCTCTTCAAGATCACCACCAGCCATCCAGACGTGTTGAAGATTTTCACTCCCTGGCTCCCTCACGGTACATTCCAATAATCTTCATTTGTAGAGAGAAAGGTTCAGTGAAGCCGGGTGTACTTTGTCGAAGAAGGCAGGGAAGTGTGTAATTGGAAGTATTTCTGTTCTGAGTGGGTAAAGGAAAAGAAAAGTCCTGGACTTGCACTGGTTAACTTCAGCTACCTGAAAACTTGATTTTTACTTGATTGTCTCTTTCTTCAGGGTCCTGAATGGTGAAGTATTTGTGTGCTTTTATTTTACAGAATGTTCTGTATGTTATCTTTGTTTTATTTTTATAGTTTATCTTCTGAGATAAGAGGCCCTCATCATTAGCATCATCAAAGCATCTAATTTCATCTGTTCCTGAACAAAGTAAATGATTAAGTTCCTCTGTTCTGGGCAGTGGTGGTCTGAGTGATTAACATTGATGTTTACCCATGTGTTTGTCACACCTGTCCTAGAATAAAAATACAGCCAGTTAAATGTGAGACATGAAAGCGACCATAGGGCCAATCTTAACTCTCCTGCTACCGCTACAAATGAGGAAGCTGCTCAAAGGCTTCACAGTCATCATTTCCGTAGCCACGCTAGTCATTCCCTTGCCTGACTCAGAGTCGGGAAAATTGAACATACTTGTGTCTCATGGGTCATGGGTGAGAATATTTAAGAGGTGGTAGGCAAAGGATGTGTGCACTGGAATGGAGACAGAAGAAAAGTAGCTCTAGAGGTTAAATGATTAGGTGAATGTGGGTCGTCCCCCCCCCCCCCCCAAGCAGTCTTAAAAAAATGAGGCTCCTGGAGCAGAAAGGGATTAGAAGACTCAAGGCCCAAAGTGAATTGAAATTGTGTTTAATTACACTGTTCATTCCACACATATAGCAAATAATTGCTGAATGCCGACTATGTGCCAGGTGCTTTGTTCTAGGCACTAGGGAGACAGTAATGAACAGGACACATAGGTTACTCGTCTCATGGGTCTTCTATTTGTTATGGGAGGAAGAGAGACAAGAATAAGTTAACAGATTAATAACTACTACAAAGACATAAAGCTGACTGGAGATCAGGGATAGCCTCTCTTGGTAGGTTATGGCTAAGTGGAGGCCTGAACAACAGAGGAGCCAACTTTGCAAAGATCTGGGTAATGAACCTTCTGTGCACTGGGATAGGGTGTGTGCCCGCTGGCTCTAAAACTGGAATGAGCCCAGTTGGGTGAGGCACTTGGGGTACAAAGTTGAAGAAGGTATTCAAATGCTGAGAGTGAGTAACTCTCTAAATCTTGTGCCCTTGGCACCTGTCTTGCTTCATCCTAGTTCCTGCCCTGGCGCAACCTGTTTGAAGGACAGAAAGGACAAAGTTGTATTTACAGGAAGTAATGAGTTGGGGGAGGTGAGTCTGGAGAAGAAGGTTGGATAGGAGCACAGAGGTACTGGCATGGCTAGGTCCCTTAGGGCTTTGTAGGCCAGCGTAAGGTTTTTGAACTTGGATGTGCAAGTAGATGTGGCTGGAGATAGAAATTTGGGAAGTGCTTTGAAGTAAAGTCCTTGTAAGTTTGGCTATTGTTACGGACGCTTCAACCTTTGTAATACCATGAGGGGAACCGCGAAGGATATGAGTACAGATGTATGTAGGTTATTAAACTTGGTGCTAAGAAGATAAGGGTATTTCCGTTGAATTTCTAATTTCTCAGTGATGTATGAGACCGTATTATCACCTTATCACCTGGACAGGGATACGGGAGGGAGGGAGGGGGGTGGAGGATATTTGAGTAGAGAGAAGTAGCCATTTCAGAGGGTGAGAAAGTGAATAGACCCAGGGAGTCCTTATAGGATTGCTGGGTGTTGAGATCTGTGATCCTGGATAGAGAATGAGTTTGGGTGTTCTTCAGCAGTATGGACAGGGAATAAGTAAAGGAGTTTAACCTCAGGTTTAAGCTAACCACGGGGACAGAGTTAGAATTGGGAATTTTTTCCAGCAAAAGTCAAAATTATGGGGTAGATAGGGGCCTTGAAATGTAATCTTTATGGGAAAGATCACTACTAGGAGATTCAGTGGTTTAAAGAATTAAGTGAAATTCAGTTTAGTTACACTTGAATTAAACTCATGATTTGATTTCTTTGCCACATGGTGGCCGTACCTTACGGGTTTAAAGATCTGGATTATGTAGATGATAATACCTTTCAGAATATATACATCCTCTGAAACTTAACAAAGCTCATCATTTAGATTCTAGAATCTAAGAGGTAGCTCATGCTAATCTTCAGAGTGTAAAATTCTTAATTGTAATCCAGTTTGTGCACCTTTTGGCCAAGTTCTCATCTGTCTTCTCACCCCCACAGAGCTCCTTTTGAAGTCATTGGAGCTCCCCGTGCTGAGCATTTCATGGGGGTGCAGAGCAAGGTGAGAGTTTGGGACCAGTGAAGTTAAATAAATATTTTAAATCCAGTTGCCGTATCCATCAAAGTAAGACTTTATTCCCTAAGTCCGTTACGGGATAGGACACTAGAGGGCAGTACTTATCCTTTTTCCTCCCCGTTTCTGTCTTCACCCAGTGTCTTATTTCTAGAGCTCCCCAAGATGTTGGATGCATTTTTGGAAATGAATGTGGTTAGTTTTAAGGTGTATGAGACATATGAGTGAAACAGCCATGTTTGGAAAAGATGTATATATTTGGAGTGTGAGGAGCTTTTTATCCAGTCTGTATGTAATTGGGGATTTATGGTCTAATCTAAGTTGGAGAAAATTCCTAAAGAAAAATAAGTTAGCCAGTTTAAAAACATGATTATTACTAATGAAGACTTAATGTTACTTCTACTTATGGTAAGCACAAATGAAATGTTGAAAGCCCAGTGGTGCCAATGGTTATTTAAGGCTTCAACAGAAAGACTTTGATGAGTAATAAAACTAGTCCTGGTTGCGTAAATAGACTTGTTTAGAGTTCAGTACGGGAGAGAGCAATTCAAATTAAACAGCCATAAATACGTCTGTTAACTTGGGTCTAGCCAGTTTCTGTTTGTAAATCATATTGTACCATTTGATATTGAAACCTGGGAATTCAATAAGTAGAGGGAAAGTTAATTTTTGGTATCATTAGTACTTGATACTAGGCTAAAATTTAAGCTAACATCTAAATTGTTTAAGTAAATGATATATAAATGAATTACCAATATATGAGCTTTTGACAAAAAAGCTGACCTTTAAGATCCTGTCAAACCCTGAAGATTTTTAAAAAACTCCCCATTACAATTGAAGATGTAGCATAAGATTTGTCATAGAAATGATCACAAAATAGCTAATTTTCAAAATAGATTTTTTCACGTGAAATTCACTTTCTAGCTTTTTGTTAGGAAAAAAAATAAATTACATATGTGCAAACATAACTGGTTTGTCATAAAATTTGGAATAAATCTTCTTTATGGAAAATATTTTGGTTATATTAAAAGGTATTTGTATGTTTTTTGTTTTATCAGGTTATTCTTGGAAACTATAATTGGCTCTCCTATGAAGATGTCTTCGTTAGAGCTTTTAATTTTGGGAATGGTTTGCAGATGTTGGGTCAGAAACCAAAGACCAATATCGCCATCTTCTGTGAAACCAGAGCTGAATGGATGATTGCTGCGCAGGCGTGCTTTATGTATAATTTTCAGCGTATGTGGGCTTTCTGATCTTCTGGGTGGGAGATAGGGTGCTGTTTATTATAAATATTTCACTCTTTAAAATTCTGAAGTTAATTGCCACCTTGCATCTGATCAGGGGAGCGTTCTGTTACAACTTGCAGTCAGAGGTCTACTTTGGAACAACTGGTGTAGTCCGTGTAGTAAGGGGACTGGAACCCCTTAATAGGGGCCTCGGGGCCTCTCTAACTCTGCTGCTGCTTCTCTCAGGAATCTTCTCATGAAGTTAGTGTCACTTCGTCCCCACGTCTGTTGGTAGCAACAGTTGACGTCTAAAACCGCACTACTTGGAGCCACGAGCCGGGTGAAAGGACAGGGAATATTTACATTGTTAATTAAGTGGCAGTCTGGATGCCCCAGACTGTGAGGTAGTTCTGGAAGCTTAGTTCATAGATCTTGGAGCCAAAATGGGATGTTAAGTATGGACATTCTCTTAACCTTTCAGATGGAGCAGAAGGGGTACTTTTACCAGATTTCTTGCTGTAAATGCTCCAGTGGTTTTTTAAACTGACATACCTTTTTGTTTTCATGGGTGTGGGCTTATAGTTTGCTTCTTTTGGGAAGCTTTGAAATAATTATCTCTTAAAGTCACTTTTAAGTCTGACTTCTGTGAGTTAGGCATCAAGCAAATAAAAGTCCACAAGATGATGATGATTACATTTCAACATGGCTAAGAATGTTTTTCTTGAGTTTTCTACTAGAATAAGCAGTACTGCCCCCTGATCATGTTTTCTTAACATACATAACACCTTCAGCCTGATACTTAGTGCATTATTTTACTGGTACATATTCTTTTTCCTATTTTAGTACCAAGTATTTAACAACTAAGGCTTTGATATTTTAGCAGTCAGAAATAATTCCTTCCATTGTGGCATCCCAGAGTAACATCTGTAGGTGAAATAAAACTTAAAAATTTCATTTTAAAATGTTAGAAATCTTGGGGGAAATTAGGAAAGGGTGAATGAGTGGGCATAATGTTTATTAGTATATTGAAATAATTTAGATAATCATAGAACAGTTACATAATAAACTATGGATCTGACGATTTAAGGTTCTTTATACCATTAGGATTCATGACCCCTTTCAGAGACTTTAGTTACATTTAGTAACTTCCATGAAATGTGGAATATTTGACTTGCCCTTCTTTTCTCTGTAGTTGTTACCTTGTATGCTACTCTAGGAGGTCCAGCTATTGTTCATGGATTGAATGAAACAGAGGTGACCAACATCATTACTAGTAAAGAGCTCTTGCAAACAAAGTTGAAGGTGAGGACTGTGGTTATCTGTCCAGAACTTCCAGAACTATCACTGCTATGAGCTCTAATATTGATACTTTTACAATCTTTAAAATCCTGAATATCTTTGTAAACTTTTAGGAATATCACACATTCTTCCTTTCCTTTAGAAAAAAAAAAGTAGATTTCATACATATTTGTGTAATAAGTAGTGCAGAGAGTTACAGATCATTAACATGGTATGCCCGTGTAAGGTAAAGGGATCACCTTTTTTCTTTATTGTGCTCATTTGTTTTCTAGTCTATTTTCAGTAAATTTATAAATTATAAGGGTTTCTAAAGTAGTAATTCCTTTATATTATTTCTGAAGCATTGAGTCGTTACGAGTTTTTAGAATTTTTTAAAAGGGAAAAAAAGAGACTTTATGAAACTGTTAGAAAGGTTTTGAAAGTCCCTAGACGACTCCCAGTGAAAACAGATTAGTCTGCTGGGTTTTTTTAATACCCAAATTTATAAGTGAGTTCTTTCCCCCTCCCCCCATATCTTTATGAGCCTCTTAAAAACATATAGGACTTGTGGCTACTCTAGTTCAGGCGGCCTGTGTTTATATGCCTATTTTGTGAGGAAGTGACATTGCTGATTAGGATTTTACCAAAGAACGGGCACACACAGTGAATCTAGTGCTATAAAATCGCAATTTAAATTTCAGACCGTATTTCTCCATCTGAAAGGAGTGGTATTCATACCAGTGCACCCCCTCGCCTTTTTTTTGGAGGCAAGAAATTAATAACTCATGGATTGTGGTAAACTGCTTTTCTTGTGTCCGGGACTGTTTGCTAAGCTGATTTGAAACAGCGACGAAGAACATAATGAATACTTGTGTTTTTCCAGGATATAGTTTCGTTAGTCCCGCGCCTGCGGCACATCATCACTGTGGACGGTAAGCCACCAGCGTGGTCCGAGTTCCCCAAGGGCGTCATCGTGCACACGATGGCTGCAGTGCAGGCTCTGGGAGCCAAGGCCAGCAGAGGTACGGGGCACCTTCCCAGTTCCTTAGGGCCGTTCTGCAGTGACCGTGTTCTCTGCAGTGGTTCTAGACCCTGAAGTCAGATCAGGGACAAATCATTTTCTAGACCATCACTTTGGGAAGTAAGGTCACTCTATACTTTTCCTCTACTCTTTAGTAGGGTTTAAGGGAGAATACACCCATTAATTTATTGTTCTAAAAGGAGTAGTTATTCAAATACCTTTTACGTTATACAGGTTTCCTGTTCCTGTTTCCTAGTTTTCAGTGGCTTAAAGTTAGTTTTCTAAATAATGCCATTAAACTAGTCCTATGTGGATTATCTGCAAGTACGAACAGATAGCTGGAGTGGCTAAACCTAGATCCCCTCTTTCACTCCCTGCCCCAACTCTGTTTTTTTCCTGAGAGAACATCTTTTTATCCCCCACCTGAACACTTCGGCATGGTGATGCCAAAAGCTCCTACTCTCAAATAAGTGTCAGGAAATGTTCAAAAGTGTACGGGTGTTGATGAATATCCCGAAAGCTGCTAGGGTGCTGGGACTGTATTTCCTTTTTGTAGTTGGAAACGCAGTGATGAACTAAATGTAAGCACTCAGCTCAGGAATGGGAATGGGGTTCTGCTGACATTAATGTTGGGCATATGGAATTTTAAGTGCCAGTGTGACATTCAGATGTGGATATTTAGTGGGGAGTGGCATGCACTCTGGAGTTAAGTTTGGAGTTAGAAGCCAGAAGTTTGGTGTTATGTATAGTTGTGGAAGGACGTGAGGTCACCCATGGAAAGCGGTGCTTCCAAAAAAGCAACTGAGGGTGGGTCAGAGGCAGGAGGAAGGCACTCAGTGTGTGCTTCACGGCGGCTGCATGAAAGGGGCCTCTCCCGGAGGCAGGGGTCAGCAGCAAGGGCAGGTCCCCTGCAGGAGTCAATGATACAGGCATTACAGGAGGCCCACCTCAGAGCAGTTTCTAGAAGGTGGTGGAGAATGGTGCCCTGGGATGGAGGAGTGAATGGAAGGCTAGGAAGTAAGGACTGGAATGAAGACCATTGTCATGGAATATATCCCCTCATGTAGAAAAGGAAGGGTTCACTCAGCAACATGTTTAAAATTGTTTCCCCCACATTTAAGAAGTCCGCACTTAGGGGAGGGTCAGGATTAATTCGGGGGTGCCATCCATGACCCACTTCTTTTTGCCTTCCTGCCATGTCTCCTCCAGGATGTGGGCTGTGGCCCTTAGGTTTGTGCAAATGGAGGGCACTGTCTTTGAATCCAGGATTCAGACTGTAGCCAGATCACTTCAACACTGTGAGGCAGAGAACAGTTTTTAGCAAGTGTCTAGGTACCCTAGCCCAACCACCCTATTTCACAGTGGAATTTCTGGAATAGCCTTTTGTCTCCCTACTGCCTTGCTTCCCTAAGTTAGGCAGCCACGTAGCAGCCAAAGTGACCCTCATCACTGGTGACGACAAGCCTCTGTTCAGATTTCTACTCCAGGTGCAATCTAAAGTCCTTAGCGTGGCCTCCAAGGCCTTGCATGATACGGTCCTGGCTGCTATGTCAGGGCCTTTGCTCTCGCTTATTTTCTACTTGAGACAATCTTCTCCCAGTTCCAGGGTTTCCGTGGCTCCCCTCTGCACTGTATCCAGGTCTTTACTAAAATACCAACGTGCCAGAAAAGCATTTCTTGACTTTTCCATCTAAATACCTTCTACTGTCATCTCACCTTGTCTTTATTTTTCTTCATAGCTCTTACTACACTATAGATTTTTGGCTTGTTGATCTCAGTAGAACATGTGTCCTGTATGTGCAGGGACGTGATCCGTTTTGTTGACCTCTGAATGAATACAATTCGTAGTTGTCAAATTAAGTTATCAAACATGATTATGAAAAAAATGGGTGATATGACTACATTTCTCAGAAATGTGTGTGTGTGTGTGTGTGTGTGTATTTTTTTCTTTTTCTCCAATGCAGAAAACAAACCTCTTAGCAAACCAGGGCCCTTAGATATTGCAGTAATCATGTATACAAGTGGATCCACAGGACTTCCGAAGGGAGTCATGATCTCCCACAGTAACATTATTGCTGGTATAACTGGGATGGCGGAACGGATTCCAGGACTGGGGTATGTCACATGGTCAATGCATATGAAGTAGTCCCTTGTTGATGCTGGTTGTTACGTTAATGTTGTTTGTGCCATTTAGTGGTATGTGGCTAAATTAGTCTTTCAGAGTCTGTTTACAGTAGGCAGTTCCCTCCAAAAAATAAGAGGGACTTTAAAATTAAATAGTTTTAGTTGTAAGGTTTAAAATACAGTTTTATATATATCATTATATTTACCTTTTACTTGAAAAGTGTAAATTTTATCTGACTTAAATCCCTTAATTTATATTCAGTTGATAATAGTATTGCTACTATGTCATTTTTATACCTAAACATGTTAAAATTCAGATGAACAAATAGCTTCATCTCTTCCAGTACTTATTGAGCTTTATTCAGTCTCTGATTTTTCTTTTTAAGACCAATTCCAGCAGCCACAGGGCCAGGGTGGGCATACTGCGGGGAAGAGACTGACTGGCGGGGAAGCCAGATGGGACCGTGAGGGTGGTAGAGGAGTCAGTACTTGATGACTGTTGAGGTGCCGTGGTTGTGCTTGGGTATTTTTGATGCCCTTATGCACAGAAATCACACTCACTCACAGGTTACTATGGAACTGAATTTAGGGATGGAGAGAGAGAGTTCTCTTATGAATGGATAACTTTTCAGAAAAAATTAAGAGCAGTAGTTTCCTGGGTTAGTCTTTGCCCTTCATATTTTTTGGGGGGTGGGGCGGTTCTTGAAATACACACATACGTACACATTTTCTTACGTACAGTATAATTTATTATTTCTAAGTAACTTTCAAAACAGGAATCTCTTTTGTAAAATTCCTGGCCAGCAATTGTGGATTAGATTGGAACTTTGGGAGCCCACGAGCTTTAAAGACCATTCCTCTCTGGATGATTTCCGCTGTCCTACAGAAGACCCCTTCTTGTTTTGGCCCCTCAGCCCCCGTTTCTTCTGAGCACATTGCTCTCATGATCCCTTGAGTGCCTTCACGTAGCCCTGGAGACAGCCTCTGGGCTTTAGCTTGAGCTGTAGCCGTCTCACTACTCCCCCTCCCTCCCCCACGACACACGCGTGCACACAGGCATGCGTGTGCGCGCTCGCTGTCTGTCTCCCTTTCTCCCCATGTGGGCGGGCTCGCTTTGCAGTCTCTTCCAGCAGAGATGACACCTGACGGATGCTTTTATATCTCCTTTTCTTTTAGAGAGGAAGATGTTTACATTGGCTATCTGCCTCTGGCCCATGTTTTAGAATTAAGTGCTGAGCTTGTTTGTCTTTCTCACGGGTGCCGCATTGGCTATTCTTCACCACAGACTTTAGCAGATCAAGTAAGTTAAATGTCTTGTGACTTCAGATACTAAAAAAATTGTAATTTTTAAACACATTTTTCTGTATCAGCATGACAATATATCATAAGGGTGGCAGTTAATCATTTAAAAATAATTACTTTTAAGTTTTTACAATAAGTAAATTAAAATGATGAATTTATAATACACTTTTTGGTCTAAGAATTTCACAGAATTTCTAAAATAAGGATCAGTTTATATAGATCACTTTTTCTCTCTCTAGTCTTCAAAAATAAAAAAAGGAAGCAAAGGGGATACAACCATGTTGAAACCAACACTGATGGCAGCTGTTCCGGTAAGAATCGACCGTTAGTTAATGTTGCGTACTAGAGAAGTGTTGCTGGCTACAGAGCCTGAACGCTAGTGGAAAAGTTAACTGTTGGCAAGGTAGTTTATGTAGGCTTTATTCCTTATTGATTATATTGCCTTACGCTCTGTGGGATTGATAGTCTTTTTTTTTTTTTTAACTTTATTTATTTATTCACTTTTTAAATTTACTAAATACTCAGTTTCAGCCTCCCTATGGTAGTATCACGTCCTTTCCCTAAAGTCGCTTCTAATTCAGATCCTTTTCATGATATGTTTGCTATTAGTAGAAACCTGAAGCCCAGCAGGAGATGGGGGAAGGTTTGATAGCACTTCCTTCTCCTCTAAGCAGATTGCGTAATTACCTCCTGAGTCCCCAGGAACAGTCTGGCCTAGTCACCAAAAAAGTGACAGAGAAGTGGTGCACCTTTGAATTACCTGAGAAACACTATGTATCCTAATGTACCAGGCATGGGCAGGGGCCTGGGAATTGAGTAGAAATGGGAGAGTAATGATTTTCTGTCTCCTTAATGTGAGTTTTATGTGGCTTCTGATTTTGTTTGAAAGTGTTGGGAATCATTACCAGATCCCTGAGTACCCCCAATCCAAGGAAAGTTACATAGTTACTCCAAATATAAATGACCAGTAGTTTGATAGTTTCTGTAGGTGTGTAGTTTCCTTAGTGTAATATTTTACTTTTTACTTTTTATTTTTTTTTTTAAGATTTTATTTATTTGAGAGAGAGAATGAGAGAGAGAGAGAGAGCACATGAGATGGGGGAGGGTCAGAGGGAGAAGCAGACTCCCTGCCGAGCAGGGAGCCTGATGCGGGACTCGATTCCGGGACTCCAGGATCATGACCTGAGCCAAAGGCAGTCGCTTAACCAACTGAGCCACCCAGGCTTTTTAGTTCATGTAAACTTTTAGTTCATGTAAAAGGAAATACAATTTAAACTTGTAAAGGGAAAACCATTTCAAGTCATTGAAGTATATATACTTCGTAGTAATGGGCCTAGCAAGCTAAATGCAGTGCAGAGAAGGAAAATTTCCTGAGTGCAGCACTGAAAGACAACCAACCAACCAGAATAACCCTGTGGTCCTTTTGTGAGCAAAGAATGTGGCTCTCTGTATTTTTATAAGATAAGGTTATGAGAATTTTAAAAACCATTTCATACAGTTATTTATGTAGTGAGCTTAGTTTTTCCAAAATAAGTAAGACAAGCAAGGCCATATAAAGAATCAATACTGATCTGTTACTGCCCTGAGGCTTTTATTTCTTTTTCTTTCTTTTTCTCCCCCACTCATGAGCATCTAGGTATATTTGTGTTATGAAAAATTATTTTTACAGAAACCTCATTTTTAAACTAGCTGTGGCTCTATTTTAAAAGTTTATTCCTGATCAGCTGTATCTTCTAAAATGCTTCAATACCGATAGAAACATTTATCTGGTGTTAAGATACAATATGTCAGGCAGCTGATAGCATTGTTGACTGTATTAACTCATTTTTATATATCTAGGAAATCATGGATCGAATCTACAAAAATGTTATGAATAAAGTGAACGAGATGAGTAGTTTCCAACGCAATCTGTTTATTCTGGCCTATAATTATAAAATGGAGCAGATTTCCAAAGGCCGTGGCACTCCACTGTGTGACAGGTCAGATGACTCCCCCTCTCCTTGGTGGCTTAGTCATTTTGTTCATATTTACTAGCCCAGGTAATTGAGATAATTACAAGAAATGAATTGGTTTTTAAAAAGTCAAAGGGACTCTAAAAATCCATCTTGCATAAGAAATTAAAAAAGATTGCAGTGTTATTTGAAAAAATGTTTCACTTACAGTTTTACTGTATTATAGTTTGCTTTCATTTTCTGTGGACACGTATGTAATTTTAGTTATTTTTAGAAATAGTTTTTCTTTGCTTTTAATTTTAAATATTTCAGTATGAATATAAAATGGCAACTAAATATGAGTGTTTAAAGTGTTAAATGATAGGTTTTACCACAGACGTGATATTTTTTGTTTTTGTAGTGCTGAGTAAGTAGATTTAATTATAATTTAGAAATTAGAAAACAATATGGCATTTAATTTGTTTTTGTGGGAATATTAATATAGTTTTCAGATGCTCCAATTTATTTGAAACTTTATATTTTTCTGCCTTATTTTAAAAAGAGATTGTACAAATATGTACACAATTCTTTTTTAAAAAATACTTAGAGTGTGTGCGCGCATGCGGGGGTAGGGGTAGAGTGGGAGGGAGAATGAGAATCTTAAGCAGACTCCACATTGAGCACGGAGCCCAACGCAGGGCCGATTTCACGACCCCACGACTCTGAGATCATGATCTGAGCCGAAACCAAGATTCAGACACTTAACTGACTGAGCCACCCAGGTGCCCCAAATACGTACATATCTCTAATGAAGTAAACAAAAGCAAAAAAAAAAATTTGCTTTTAATGCTGAATTTTATAAAGATACAATAGGATTGTTTAGTATTACTATGTGTATTACATAATATAAAATTAATTGCTCTTTGGCCATAAACATGGGTTTGCCATTACTATACAGAATTTTAAACCTGACAATTTTTATATCAGATATTAACTTGAAAAGTTCTTAAGAGAAAATCATACGTTCTTTACTTGGTCGAACTATAAAAAATAAGATTTAAATAGTGAGAGAATTTCTTGAATTGTTTGTGTGGCCTGACTCTCAAAATCTCACATATCAAAATTGGGAGATTAGTCTGAATGATCTGGAAAATCCCATTCAGCTTCAAATCCTCAGATTCTCTCTCTCCTTTTTTTTAGGTTTATTTTCCGAAAAGTTCGAGGCTTGCTAGGTGGAAATATTCGGCTTCTGTTGTGTGGAGGTGCTCCACTTTCTGCAACCACACAGCGATTCATGAACATCTGTTTCTGCTGTCCCGTTGGTCAGGGATATGGACTGACTGAATCTTGTGGTGCAGGAACAATTACAGAAGGTTGGTGTTCTCCACAAAGTGGTGTGTCCAACAGAGCCTGGGGTGTAACTCCCTGTATTCTTTGGTAGTGGGTTGTTTTCTGCAGTATGAAGGATAAAAGTGGTTAAGGTATTTGTGTAGCAGAATAATGGTAAATTCTAAGTACTGTGATTATTGATAAAGTTTTTAATTATTGAGTATTGGGTACATCTAATAGTAATTAAAGGAGTCTTTCATGTTAGATTATGGTAGATCATATTAAAAGCTACTTAGCGTCTGGAAAAGAAGTTTTAGTAACAAGCATTGGCTGTATTATATACATTTATTTTCTTATCAGTTATTAAATGTCTTTTTGTGAAAAAAATTTAACATGTTTTGTACAGTTTAGGTATGTGTATTAAAGCTCAAACTCAGAAGTGGTTTATGGGGGTGGTCTGTGTAATGAGAGAGAAACCAGACTCAGTTTTATAGAATATAATTTCTAGCGTTTATTACGGTGACATGATTGAAGAGGTGATCCACTACCCAAGTGGTCCCTAGATGAATCCCAAAGTGTCACATGTGTCCCTTTTATGGAGGAAAGTTCTTTTGCTTCTCAGTACTAGGGAAAGAAAGCTACTTTGTATTTTCTAAATACTGACAGGTACTAAACCTCTTAACTGATCATTTTCCCCTATTTACCTTCAGTGTTTCTTTGTACTATTCTTATGTCAGGTTTATCTTACATTACTTCTGTATTTTCCTGTTTTCAGTTTTCTGTACTTTGGAAGTTACTTCTAAGTCTTGTTTTGCAGGAAATAAAAAAGCAATCTTCAATATGTTCATCTATGATTCCTTTCTTATGATCCTTATAGCTTCTGTTTTAAGATTTGCATTGAATGTGATTCATCAGTTACAGCTTATGTTGTAAACAAAACATTCTATGAATTTTTAAATATCAGCCTTTTCTGATACTTGAATGGTTTTTGAAGAGGAAACATAATGCAGTAGTAATTCACAATAGTGGTGTGTGCTTTTCCCAGATCCTTGAAAATTAATCTCCAGCCTGGTCTTTGAACTCCTGTGTACGAGTTTAAATAGGGTGATAGCATAAGCTGATGTCGGGGAGGCTTTAGAGGTCTCACTTTGAAATAGTGATAGATGGGAGAAGATTGGAGAGGCTACTTGTACTGCAGAGCCGTCCGGTCTAATAAGAAAGTGGAACGGGGGGAAGCCATTGTGATCCATCATCCTTTAAGATAGGGGCTCCAAACTCATGAGCCAGGCAGCTACTTCAGTGAGTGAAGTGGGCCTTGAGGCATGAAGATCCACGGTGGGTGGAAGGCAGGAATCGGGGGGAGCCGGAGCAGGCATGCCCCGTCTAATGGGGACTACGGTTGTTGCTGCGCTGGAAATGCCGGCCCTGTTGGTCCTGGAGTTCCACACTTCTGGGTAAATTGTCGTGATTTTTAAATGTCACTAAGCAATTCAGAATAAAAAAACAGAACTCTCTGTGGGCCACACAGCTTGTGGGTCACCAGTTTGTGACTCTGGCTTTTAAAGATTCTCTGGGGCTGTCAGAGCTTTGGGATAAATCATCATTTTTGGTAATTTAGAAAAATCAAGCTCTTTATTCACCACTGTAATCAAATACTTTTTTTCATTTGCATCTTAGTCTGGGACTACAATACTGGCAGAGTGGGAGCACCATTAGTTTGCTGTGAAATCAAATTAAAGAACTGGGAGGAAGGTAATAACCTATTTTAACCACAGACCATTAATTTGTATAATATTAAACCTTGAAATTAGAATTGTGCTTCATTTTCTTATTTTAGAATATAAAATCACCCACAAGTGCTTTTTTTTGTCTAATAGAACTATTTTATCTAGAGCTGTATGAATGCATTTATTTTGCTTATTTCAAGAATGATTCTGAAATATTAAAATTGTTTTTATTTTGCTTATTTTATTACATGAATGCAAGTAAGAATTATGGCAAAAACTTGAGAAATCTCCTAAATGAATGATGTCAGTAAATTAGGAATGATCATAAGTTTATTTGGTAGCAGCAAAATCATAAAATGTAATCTGTGAAACTGAGGATTTTTCTTTTTTTCTTTCTTTCCCCTGATGGCTTCAATCAAGAATCATCAGAAGGAAATTTTTACTATAATTTCATACAGATCTGTTGTTGTGCCATTTAAATACTAACCACTTTTTAAAAATTTTATTTGATTCTATCTGTGTATACATTATCAGTGATTGGTTGGCTAAATCTTTTATACAAAGTAAAGATACTCAGGGTTCGCTGCCATTAGCAGAATTAGTGAAAATGTTTAACAGATTTAAACTTGGAGTCATTCTGAACTTATCTGTCAGTCATAAATCTTGTAAATATTGTGTAATTTGATTTTGGAGATGTGTTTTATTGAATTACATGATTTAATACTTTTATCAAATATATAGGAATCTCTGCAGAATCCCTAAAGGAGTTTACCTGTGTAGTACACATGATTATTTATTCCACAGATGTTGGATTTTTTAGTGTAATTTTTGCTTGGAGTAGTAGTTTAAAAGCATCAGTGCTTATGGGTAAGCAACTGAAATTTTGCACCTAGTTTTACGTTAATGAGTTTTCTTCATTCATACCGTCTGCCTCATTTCCTTTGGGAAACTCTAATTGGATTAAAATCAGATGTCCCTATTTAGAAACTAATAGTTTCAAATTTTCACACAATTGTATATAGGGATAAAAATTTTGAATTAACTCTTAATTATTTTGTGTTTATTAGGTGGATACTTTAATACTGATAAACCACACCCCAGGGGTGAAATTCTTATTGGTGGCCAAAACGTGACAATAGGATACTACAAAAATGAAGCAAAAACGAAAGCTGATTTCTTTGAAGATGAAAGTGGACAGAGGTGGCTCTGTACTGGAGATATTGGGGAGTTTGACCCCGATGGTTGTTTAAAGATTATCGGTGAGCCAACTAATATATATACATATGTTTTCTGCCAGTGGATGTTTCTGAAATAGTTTTACAAAAGAGATAACTGTATATTTAGGGAAACTGTTTAATAATATAAGAATATATCTCTCTGCAGTGTTGATAGGGTCTGTTGTATCATCCCTGGAATATAAAATTTTATAATAAACTGTGAAGAAGTTTTAAGGCCTGACATTTTAGGAGATCTCAGAATCTGTTCAACAGGAGTGATATTTTTAATTATTAGATAACCCTGAAAGAATCCAGTTCTCAGTAGGGAATATTTATTTTTTTGTGTGATCTTTGCTATTTAGAGGTTATTGGACAGGCTCTCTCCTGTTGGAACCATGTCCTGGCCTTGCCTGTGAGAATAAGGAAGGCCTGGCAGTTGGAGTACTAGGACCCATGGGGCAAAAAATAGCTCCCTGCCTTCCCTCTTACATTTTTTTTTTTCTCAGCTAATAGAATTTCTGTCCTAGTCATGCTACCTAGCAACCTGGGGGAGATGAGACTGTTTAGTGCACTCCCCATGTCTTACCCATATTCTACTGATTTATCATGTGAAACATGCCTCAAGACATTCTCTTCTTTCTCTCTGCCCCACCATGACCGTAGGTCAGGCCTGCACCTTCTGTCACCCTACTGCAAGAAATTCCTCCCTGGGACATGCTTGTCTCCCTTAAACACACACTCTTACAGGCCATGTGAGCCCTCAGCACTGATCTCACAGGGCCCCTTTGCTGCTAGAAAACTCTAGTGGCAGCTAGGGGCTCGGTTCCGTGCGCCTCTGTCCTGTAGCCCGACCCACCTCTCCACCTCTGGCCGTCCCCCCGCCCCCCGTGCTGCGGTGATTCAAGTAGACCTGTCTGTCGTTTTCCATGGCCGCTGCACTTGGTCAGCGCCCGTCTTCCCTTGAGACTCAGCCCAGGCCTCACTTGGAGGAATTCTTTCCAGATCAGCAGGTTGGACAGGCTTGACCCTTACCCTTACTGTTCTGTATGGAGGGGATGTGCTTCTCTCCAGATAGAATGTGAGCTTTCATGTGTCCCCGAGAACTCTTCAGTTTCCTGGTGTTAATGGGTCGCGGGAACACACTTGTTCAGTGGAACATGCCCGAAGCCCTGATGGTGGGGGCTCTTGACCAGAAGCTGATTTTCTTTTTTGAAAGAATTTATTTAATGGTACAAAAATTAGGGCCTAATTTACTGTGTACTTTTAGTTTTGGTGTAACTATTAATAATAGACTTAATTGATAGCAAATTACTTAGGGAATGGGCAATATTCATGTGTATTCAAGGTATTTCTGTGCTCCCTTGTGGCCCCTCCCGGCCTTTGTTCTGCACAGATCGTAAGAAGGACCTTGTGAAACTGCAGGCCGGAGAATATGTTTCCCTTGGGAAAGTAGAGGCAGCTCTGAAGAACCTCTCCCTTATAGATAACATTTGTGCATATGCAAACAGGTAAGAAAGTAGAATTCTGTTACTTCTACTTCAGACAGACATTTTGTGTGGTTTTGGCATTTCCTTCCTAGATGAATCTTCTTTGTAAAACTACACTAAGAACTCTAAGAACTCTTCTTCCTTCTTATCTGTTGTCTCTGGGGGAGGCCTCTTCTCAGGAAAACCAGTAACTGATTCTGTCCTTGGGATACCTCCCCTCTTCGTCCTCCGCTGTGTCCCTGTTTTCTGCTTTGCATCTCACTGCGGTGTCCTGTGTGATAGGGAGGGGAAGAAAGTCCAGTCCTCCCTCCTGCTGCCTTGGTACCCCCAGCGACCCGCCCCGCTGCGCAGGGAAGCATCCCAGAACCAGTCCAGAGCCAAGGGGAATAAAGAAGGAAGTTGAGGATGGGAGTCATCAGGCTGAACCCTGCTCAGCACTTAACTGCCCTACTCTAGACTCGAGCCTACTTTGGACCCTGGCCAGGCCTGGGAGCTCTGCCTTAAGCTATGTTAAGCTGTGGCTGAACTCCTAGCATCTCTAGTCTGTAATGATACAGAGGCAGCTGGGAAGGAGAGTTTAAAGTTAAAAATCCCAGAAATGTATTCCTGAGAAATGTGTTGGAAATTTAGATTGGCACTCTGATGACATTTTCCCTTAAGAGTTTTATACGTAGTAATTATTCTCCAGTGTTAATGATCAGATACTTGGTGGCCAGCCTAGGAACCTTACTGCAGCAGTTGACATAATAGTTATTGTGAAAAGTTAAAATCTGGTATCAGAAGAACCGATTTAGAAACAGACTTTAAAGATTTACTACACTGAATCTTAAATTATTCTGCCCTTTAATTAGCTGTGAGATATTTTCCTTAGCGCTGCTGCAGTTCTGGCTTTTACTTGTGTGATACTAAGCAGACTACCCTTCTCTTCCTGATGCTTGCTATTTCTTACTGCCATTGGCAGGCGTACCTAAAGCTCTTTTAGTAACAGTTCTCGTGGTAACAAGAAGAAAATAAATGCAACCACATTACTTTGATTCGCTGCCAAATTTCTTTAGATACAATTTATTTTTTTAAAATTTTTAAATATATTTTTTAAAGGTTTTATTTATTCATTTGAGAGCAACAGAGTGCATGAGCAGGGGCAGGGGGAGCAGAGGGAGAGAGAATTCCAGGGAGAGACTGCACTGAGTGTGGAGCCTGACACGGATGGTGTCCGATCTCACAACGCTGAGTTCATCACCTGAGCGGAAGTCAAGAGTCAGCTGCTTAACCGCCTGAGCCACCCAGATGCAGTTTCTATTTACATGAGTTTTTACTTTGTTAAACAAACTGTTAATGTGAATTACTGATTTTTTCTCAAAGTTGAATTTTCTGATATTTGTAATTTTCTTTTAAAAAATGTATACATGGAAGTATTCGGAACAGTTTCACCTAGTTGAAATTTGCCATTAAATATCAGATGAAGGTTTATTTAGCAGTGAACTCTGTCGAGTGTTGAACATACTATGAATCATACAGTAGAAGTGGCTGTTCCGTGAGGTAAGTGCTCAGTACCAGATGCGAATCACGTATGTTCTTTCAAGTGGTCGTGAATTGAAGGCGTTGGCGTATCACTGACACCCGCTCACACGCTGTGCCATTTAGACCCTTAGCCCGCTTGTCCTTTATGTATTTCAGTTATCATTCTTATGTCATTGGGTTTATTGTGCCAAATCAAAAGGAACTAACAGAACTCGCTCGAAAGAAAGGACTTCATGGGACTTGGGAGGAGCTGTGTAACAGCTGTGAAATGGAAAATGAGGTCCTCAAAGTGCTCTCTGAAGCTGCTATTTCAGGTGAGTGGCTGTGAAATGGATTGAGGACCGAGGCTCACGTTTACTTGCTCTGCTGTCACGAGGCTTAGGGGACGTCATTTCCTGCTCAGAAACCAACTGCGTCTCCTGCTGTTGGATAGAACCACAGGCCTCTCAGGCCCGCATCCAGGCTCCTCCCCAGGACTCGCCGGTCACGTGCTCCCGTGACGGCTGGGCACCGGTCAGAATGTCCTTGTCCCTGCAGCTTCTGTCTTCCGGGTTCGCCCTTTCTCTCCTTACTCAGCTGGGCCCTGGCCACCCCGGCCCACCCTGAACTGTCCAAGACTCTTCTCTTCATTTTCTGCACCGTTAGTGTACCGGTAGTGGCTTGTACGGCTATGTCCTATCCCCCTTTTTGTGTGTGTGTGTTGGGGGTGCTGCAATGGGTTGCTCTGCTTTTGGTTGTTAATGGATAATGCTGTAAATATTCATGTGCAAGGGTTTGTGTGGACGTACTCATTTCTCCGGGGTGGGTACTTCAGAGTGGAATTGCTAGGCCTGTGTCAACTTTATGTTAAATCTTTTGAGACAGAAGTACCAGATTATTTTCCAGAATATTTTTTCCCAAATCTTCCAAACTGTTTCTAAAATGGTAGCATCATTTTATCATTCCCACTAGTGTTGGTTTCCAGGTTCCCCACGTCCTTGAAATACTTGTTACTGTTCATCCTTCGGGTTCTACTCATCCTAGTGGGTACGAAGTAGGGTATCTCGTTTTGATTTACATTTTCTGGTGGCTAATGATGGTGGGCATCCTTCCTTGTATTTATTAGCCATTGTATGTCTTCTCTAGAGAAATGCCTCTTCAGATCCTTTGCCCATTTTTTATTTTATTTTTATTTATTTTTTAAAAGATTTATTTGACAGAGACACAGCGAGAGAGGGAACACCAACAGGGGGAGTGGGAGCGGGAGAAGCGGGCTTCCCGCGGAGCAGGGAGCCCGATGCGGGGCTCGATCCCAGGACCCTGGGACCATGACCCGAGCCGAAGGCAGACGCTTAACGACTGAGCCACCCAGGCGCCGCTTTGCCCTTTTTTTAAATGGGGTTGCCTTTTTATTATTGTGCAAGTTCTTTATATATTCTAGACACAAGGCTCTTACCAGATACGCAATTTGTAAATATTTTCTCCATTCTGTGGGTTGTGTTTTTACTTTTTTGATGGTATCCTTTAAAGTACAAAAGGTAGGTTTTTTTTTCCTTTTGTTGCTTGTGCTTGCGGTGTCCTATCTGAGAAACCAGTCCTAATCTATCACAAAGATACACCCTGTTTTTTATTCTAAGAATTTTATAGTTTCAACTGTTAAATTTAAAAGCTCCTTGGTTCATTTGAGTCCATTTTTGTATGATGTGAAGAAGGGATCCAACTTCATTCTTAGGCAAAATCTATATTAGGTTTATACCTGAGAAACAGAATTAGTAGTTAATATAGAGAGACTCAGTGTGAAGAATTGGTTTAATGTGATCTTTGGGGGCTGACTTAGGCCCTGTTGGCAGCAGCTGACCACAGGCAGAATTACATTTTGTTGGGGGGACACCTCAGCTCTGCTCCTACAGCCTTTCAGTTGACCAAACCAGGCCCACTAAGATGATATAGGCCAATTTTCCTCACATAAAGTAAACTGGTTATAGACATAATCCTATCTACAAAATATCCTCAGAGCAACACCTGCATTAGTGTTTAATTGAGTAACTGGGAACTCTAGCCTAGCCCAGCTGATACATAAAACTGACTTCCCAGTCCGTCATCGCTTGTCCGCTTGGCACTCATGTACATCTCCTGAGAACATAGTTGATTTTTAAGTAAAGACAGTAACAGAGACTCCTGCCTAACGTGATAAAACTGCCCAGCACACAGCTGAAAATACAGTAACCTTTTCTGCAGAAGAGGATGCAGACCTCTTGAGCGATTTTTTGCTCTTATTCTGTATGCAGTTAGCTTATTAATACCTATTATAGATAAGAGAATAAAAGGGAAGAAAATAAAAATATTTGCTTTAACATATAAACACAACAAAACAAAAACGAACTATTCCATAAGTCCTGAGGTCCAGGCCTTGCTGCTTTTGCTCACAGTGGTTTTCCCTCTAGGAGAGCCCTCCTGAAAGAGCTTTAATCTTTGAAGAGAAAATCTTGTTATGTCTATGTTTATAAGTTAGAGTTAATATGCCCCTTTTGCTCCCAAGGTACTCACACCTTCAGTTCAGTGAGCACGTGTGCCAGTGTGTGTGCGTGCGTGTGTGCGTGTGTAAGTAATCATGGCTATGTGGTTACCTGTTTATCATCGTTAGATTTTATTCCACTTGAGAACAGAAACTATTCCTGTGTTTTTTAAAGAGTGTTTAAGAATGTTTAGTAAAGCACTTCGCACAGTAATTTTTTTCAATAAATATTGTTGAATGAATGCTGGGAAACCGCTCCCTTTTCTCCCCGTCTGCGTCCCTCCCTCTCTTTCTCCACCCCTCTCCCGGTCTCCAGCCCTCTGCTCTTGAGAGCCTGCTGGTACCCAGCAGTGTATAGGGACACAGTAGTGAGCAGACGTTCTGTCCTCAAAGCTTATGCTGAATATTCTGGTTCAGTGACAAGGTTCGTTTTAAACTTTATTATTTTTTAGTTTCTAAAGTGATCTCCTTATAATAAACTGAAAACAAATAGGTGTGTGGCCTTTGCTTTTTCTTAATCGTGGATCTTAGCTTCTAGAGGTAAACAGGTTATAGTTTGGTGTATACTTGTCCTACACATCTAGATGTGTATAATTTATCTGGTATTTAAAAAAAAAAAGCCTTTTTTTTAAAGCCTAACAATATATATTACAAATATCTTTACACACTGTACCATGTAGATCTTTTTTTTTTTCCCCAAAGATTTTATTTATTTTTGACAGAGAAAGAGCACAAGTAGGGGAAGCAGCAGGCAGAGGGAGAGGGAGAGGCAGGCTCCCTGCTCTCAGGGAGCCTGAAACGGGACTCGATCCCAGGACCCCGGGACCCCGGGACCATGACCTGAGCCGAAGGCAGAGGCTTAACCGTCTGAGCCACCCAGGCGCCCCATACATCTTACTTCTAATGACTGAAATATATTCCATTTAATGCCTACATCATAACTGAATCTAACCCATTCTATTGATGGCCATGTAGATTTTTTAAACAGTTTTTTTGCTATTATAATTCTCATACATATCTCTATATATTTTTTACTTGTAGCATTTTTGAGGGATGGATTATTTAGAAGTAAGATTCATGGGATGTTTGTGCATTTTGATGGGTGCTCTAAGACTTCTATAGAAAAGTTTACTATTTGCTTAGAATTTTAATTGTACATTTTTCATGCCTCTGCGTTTACATTTTTTTTCTCTTCCCCCATCTCAGCAAGTCTAGAAAAATTCGAAGTTCCAGTAAAAATTCGTTTGAGCCCAGAACCGTGGACCCCCGAAACTGGTCTTGTGACAGATGCCTTCAAGCTGAAACGTAAAGAGCTTAAAACACATTACCAGGCGGACATTGAGCGAATGTATGGAAGAAAATAGTTCTCCTTCAGCATCATTTGCTACAGGGAGCTCAGATCAAATAGGAAAATACTTGAAGTGCATGTCTCCAACTGTGAGGCAAACCCCATTCCGCATAGTAAACCTAAACTGTTGTTTCTCATGACGTCGCCGTTTTTACTGACAGGATTAGTAAAACATTAAGACAGCAAACTGGTGTCTGTCTCTTCTTTCTCTTCCCCCTTTCCAACTTACCTTACCACCTAGGACTGCACTTGTCAGCATGAGGACTTCCTGAGTCATTTTGGGGAACAGTGATTTTAAAACCTCAAGTTTTTAAACATGATTTATATGTTCTGTATAATGTTCAGTTTGTAACTTTTTAAAGTTTGGATGTATAGAGGGATAAATAGGAAATATAGGAATTGGTTGTTTGGGGGGCTTTTTTACTTACAGTATTTAAAAATGCAAGGGTATGGATGTGAAATTGTATAAATTCAAACGCTTATGAATCAAATCATTGTTGAACAAAAGATTGGTTGCTGTGTAATTATTGTCTTGTATGCATTTGAGAGAAATAAATATACCCATACTTATGTTTTAAGAAATTGAGACCTTGTGAATATATGCCTGACAGCGTCTTCTATATATATATTTATTTTTTATTAGGGAAAAAATGGAAGTTTGGTTGGTGCTGCATGAAACAAGATAGCACTAGAGGGTTATGTTTAATAGTAAAGAAGGAAACACAGCAAGTGTAGCACCAGAGGATAATTAGTCTCTAGTAGCTTACCCTCAGAATATTCAGGGTCTTTAGTTAGCTTTGAAACTATGAAAATGTCCAAACATTTTTTAAAGTTGGAAGCAGTTCTAAAAGTTAGGGTGGGATTTAAGAAGCAAAGGCTAGAAAGCTATTCTTTATTAATGTTTATATTTACAGCACCTCAGTCATGGGAAGACACTCTATCCACTCCGATGCTTTTAGTCTAGATGTGTAATCTTCTATCACATTTCAAAATGAGGATTCTTTCTCTTGATAGTTTGCACTGGTGTGTGTGTGTGTGTGTGGGTGTGGGTGTGGGTGTGTGTGTGTGTGTGTTGGCAACTTATTAAAAAAGCACCTTATCCTTTCTAAATGGAACTAAGGTAATGAGAATTTAACTTTATACTGAAGTAGTTAAGATTTAATTTGTAGGTTTTTATGTTACTATGGAAGTTATTTATGATTCTAAAAACACTGCTTGTATGGTACATAGTGTTTTTCATATGTGTTGCTTGTCTTATTTGAGCATTATCAAGGGTAATATTGCACCAGTGAAGATGTGTTCAAACAAGACTTTAAAAAAAATCATAGGTACCATGTTTTCTTAACATCCTATCAGTTATTTTCTTGATTCTTAGTTTAGGCATCAAAAGGCAAAAACAAAAAAAGTTACGAATGTAGATCCGTGTAGGATAGTGGGAGTGCTGAGCCCCAGGGCCCTGTAGCTTTTGGTCATTTGCGCACACACCATATTTGGAGATACCGCAATATGGTGTTCGGTTTTGAGTATTTCCTGTATTTCTGTATATTTGCATTATGTTTTTAGTGTGTTTCTCCTTGTCATAGTTTAAATTTTCATAAAGTTTGGGAAAACTGCCAAGAAATAAAACAAGAAATTAAACAGCTTCTCTGTCAGGATGTTGTGATGTAAAGATTAAGTCAGGGTGGGTGGAGAATTTGTTTCTGATGCTTTCTCTTTACAATAATTGTTTGCTTTCAAATGATTTTTGAGAAGTTGTATTTAGAAAAAAAAAAGTTCAGTGCTTCAAAGGAGAGAAAACAATATAATGGTGACTTTTTACCACTGATTCTGGATACAAGTTGTTTCTTTTCAGAAGCATCCAATAAGGCTGATTTAATTTGCGTCTAATTCCATTTTCCTCATTTTTTAGAATTCCTTTTGGTCTTAAAATCTTAGGTGCCACGTGTCAGATGTCATGCAGAGTATGAAATTATTACATAAAGTATCCCCTTTCAAACAAATTACTCTGACCCAGGCCATCTTTAGTGACTTAAAGAATGGTATCTTTTTCTATTAATCTTTCAAAAGAAACAGTTGGTTTAAAACCAAAACCAAAACACCACCCAACAACGATGATTTTATTAAAATACTGGTTTAGCCAGAAGACGCCTGGGGAGGAAAACTTTGAAGAATGTCAGTCAGTTGCTAAATCTAATACATCTGAAAATAGATTATAGATCCTAAAAAGAATGATTCCTAAGAACTTGTTTTCTGGAAATAAGTTACATAAGACTTCTCGGCCTTTTCCTGTGACAGTAAGTCTAGAGCCTGATTGGTGGCTACCTCCGCTCTTCTCTCTGGCAGGCTTCCCCCCGACCCCGGGCTGGGATTTTTTAGCTTCAACTTAAAGTTTTTACCAACAGCAGAACAAAACCTAAAGTGGTCTCTTCTTTATACGTACTACTTTGTTTTTTAAGTAATGGATCTGATATCCATGGTGTTCTCTAAAGCTTGTGATTTTTTTCAGCAATATTTAAAGATTATCCTGAAATTTTTTTTTTTTTGCTGCTAAAATACACAAGATTATTTACAGTTTTTAAAGCAGTTATTCCCTGTGATACAACTTTAAAACTTAAAATCCTGATGTGTGAGTTCTTTCTTTTACATACATCTGTGATGTTTTAAAGGGGATCTACTTTTAACAGTGTACTTACTGGACCATACTGAAATGTAATGCGTCTTTTCTCTACACTTAACAATTGGTTGTTCACTGCGAGTTCATTTTTGATGTATTCTTGGTTATTGCTGTTTTCTGCCTGAAGTGTACATCATAAAGAAGCAACATAGCCACATGGTATGGACTATTTATTTGTAACTTGACATCAAGTTTGAAGAATAAAGATGTAAAAAGTTTCTGATATTATAACTCTCTATTTTGTTTTTTTAAAAAATCTCTATAAATAAAGTCAAACTTTTGACATTCCTGAAATACTTGTTTTAAAAAAGGAGTTTGGGGAATTTTCTTGGCCTAGCCAATCCGCTTGAAGGGGAATTTTTTTACTTTAAAAATTCTGTTCTTAATCTACTTTATTTCCGACAGCATTCTGTTCTCCCTTTCACTAACCCTTCCTGATGCCTCCTTTCTATGTTGATTTTGACTACACAGATTCTCTGCTGTCAGCATTTAAAAATCAGTGCTAATAAGATGTTTTCTACACTTAAAGTGGTTACATAGCGTGAATTAGAGAACATAAAATTTGTGGGAGTAATTAAAAGCAATGTGGCAGCCATAAATCTAGGTTTTATGCCTACATTTAATCCTTTAATTGTGGAATAATTGTATCCTGCCATGATATCTCAGAAACAACCTATCCCTGCCTTCGAGACCACTTGATGTTTGTTTATGACAAAACCAGGCATATGTCCCTTTATACTAAGAACACTTATAAAACCAGGTCACTGTATGGAATCCTGGCAACTGTAACAAAAGGCATCTAGCAGCTTCCTGTGTTGTGCATCAACTTAAATATAATTGTGCCTCATTTCTCTGTCACTAACCTTGCTCAGATTATTTTAAACTTTGGTAGCTTAATATTTCTACCACAATAACACCTGTAATTTTAGGATGAAGCAGGTCTGTATTGTCATGGAAAGATAGAAAAACACGCTATGTATATGTACGTATATAGCCTGATTTAAGTAATGTGTTATCAATCTGACCCCCTCTCCCCAAAAAAACAAAACCGAACTTGTCTCTGATTCTAATCTGTCTTCTTGCAAGTATGTAGACTCAAGGGGCACATCTGTTTGGAAATCCCCTCTAGCCCCAGTGCCCTAATAATGGTCCATGGTCCTCTGAGTGGGCATTCAATAACTTTTCTGATTAAAATGTTAACAAAATTAGAACCACAAGGCATATGTGTGTCTAATGTTAACATGCATTTTTCTCGTTCAGACTTTTTCAAACCTTTCCCCGTTAGCATCCTTATTTACTGATAACTTTGAATAGTGGTGACTTGGTGGGATTCATTCAGAAGCAACTTTTCCACTTGGTGATTCCTTGGTAAATTAATCCTCAGTTCTTAAGAGAAATTATTCTGTGTGAGTTCTACGTTATGCAATAAGATGGAGTCTCAAGTTTTTTCTGCATGCATTACTTTGTAGAAGTAGGGTTTCTCTCCAGTATGAGGTTTTTTTTTTTTAAGATTTTATTTATTTATTTGAGAAAGAGAGAATGAGAGACAGAGAGCATGAGAGGGAAGAGGGTCAGAGGGAGAAGCAGACTCCCTGCTGAGCAGGGAGCCTGATGTGGGACTCGATCCCGGGACTCCAGGATCATGACCTGAGCCGAAGGCAGTCGCTTAACCAACTGAGCCACCCAGGTGCCCCCCCAGTATGAGTTTTTTTTTTAAAGATTCTATTTATTGACAGCCAGTGAGAGAGGGAACTCAAGAGGGGGAGTGGGAGAGGGAGAAGCAGGCTTCCCGCTGAGCAGGGAGCCCGATGCGGGGCTCGATTCCACGACCCAGGGATCATGACCTGAGCCGAAGGCAGATGCTTAACAACTGAGCCACCCAGCTGCCCTTCCAGTATCAGTTTTTTTAAATTATGTTAATCAGCATACATCATTAGTTTTTGATGTAGTGTTCCATGATTCGTTGTTTGCATATAACACCCAGTGCTCCATGCAGAACGTGCCCTCTTTTAATACCCATCACCAGGCTCCAGTATGAGTTTTTTGATGCTGAAAGTTTTTCTGCATTTACAGATTTTCTCTATTTTTTTTAAATTTAAATTCAATTTAGTTAACATATAATGTAGGGCACCTGGGTGGCTCGGTTGGGTGACTGCCTTCGGCTCGGGTCATGGTCCTGGAGTCCCACATCGGGCTCCCTGCTCAGCGGGGAGTCTGCTTCTCCCTCTGACCCTCTTCCCTCTTGTGCTCTCTCTCATTCTCTCTCAAATAAATAAAATCTTAAAAAAAAACCATGTATTCATCACTTGCGTATAACACCCAGTGCTCATCACATCACGTGCCCTCCTTAATGCCCATCACCGGGTTACCCCATCCCCCCATCCACCTCCCCTCCAGCAACCTTCAGTTTGTTTCCTAGAGTTAAGAGTCTCTTAGGGTTTGCCTCCCTGTTTTTATTTTATTTTTCCTTCCCTTCCCCTATGTTCATCTGTTTTGTTTCTTAAATTCCACGAGTGAAATCACTCAGTATTTGTCTTTCTCTGACTTATTTCGCTTATAATATTCTCTAGTTCTATCTACATCCTTGCAAAAGGCAAGATTTCATTCTTTTGATGGCTGAGTAATATTCCTCTGTGTGTGTGTGTGTATACACACTACACACTGTATATACACATTGAGTGCATACACACACACACACATATGTAGGCTATTGTTAATGTTGCCATAAACATTGGAATGCACATGCCCCTTTGAATTAGCATTTTTGTATCCTCTGGATAAATACCTAGTGCAATTGCTGGGCCTAGGGTAGTTCTATTTGTAACCTTTTGAGGAACCTCCATACTGTTTTCCACAGTGGCTGCAACAGTTTGCATTCCCACCAGCAGTGTAAGAGGGTTCCCCTTTCTCCACATCCTCACCAACATCTGTCATTTCCTGACTTGTTAATTTTAGCCATTCTGACTGGTGAGAGGTGGTATCTCATTGCAGTTTTGATCTGATGCCAAGTGATGTTGAACATTTTTTCATGTGTCTGTTGGCCATTTGTATGTCTTCTTTGGAGAAGTGTCTGTTCATGTCTTCTGCCCATTTCTTGACTGGATTTTTTGTTTTTTGGGTGTTGAGTTTGATAAATTCTTTATAGATTTTGGATACTAGCCCTCTATCTGATAGGTCATTTGTGAATATCTTCTCCCATTCTGTAGGTTGCCTTTTAGTTTTGTTGATTGTTTCCTTTGCTGTGCAAAAGTTTTTTATCCTGATGAAGTACCAATAGTTCATTTTTGCTTTTGTTTTCATCACCTTTGGAGACGAGTCTTGTAAGTTGCTGTGGCCGAGGTCAGAGAGGTTGCTGCCTGTGTTCTTCTCTAGGATTTTGATGGATTCCTGTCTCAACATTTAGGTCTTTTCATCCATTTTGAATTTATTTTTGTGTATGGTGTAAGAAAGTGGTCCAGTTTCATTCTTCTGCATGTGGCTGTCCAATTTTCCCAACACTATTTGTTGAAGATACTGTCTTTTTTCCATTGGATATTCTTTCCTGCTTTGTCGAAGATTAGTTGACCATAGAGTTGAAGGTGCGTTTCTGGGCTCTCTCTTCTGTTTGTATTGATTTATGTGTCTGTTCCTGTGCTGGTACCATACTGTCTTGATGATTACAGCTTTGTAATAGAGCTTGAAGTCCGGAATTGTGAAGCCTCCAGCTTTGGTTTTCTTTTCAGCATTCCTTTGGCTCTTCAAGGTATTTTCTGGTTCCATACAAATTTTAGAATTGTTCCAGCTCTGTGAAAAATGCTGGTGGTAAATTTTCTCTTTAGAAAATGCCCTCTCATGGTAAGAGAGGGATGACCTGCAGCTTTCCCGTACTGTCTGCATTTACAGGATTTCTTCATAGAAATCTCAGTGCAAGCTTTCTTGTTTAATCAAAGGCAAGCTGTAAGTGAAGATTTTCCTCTAAAGACCACATTTGCGGAGTTTTATGAAATCCTTGACGTTGACAAAATACATTATAGCTAAAGATTTCCCCACTTCGCATTCATTTTTTTCTTTAGCCTGCATGAACTGTCACATGTTGGATAAGGGAGGGGCAGTCCCTAACGACTTCATCAGTTTTTTACAACCAGAGGATTTCATACCTGTATGATTTTCCACATGTTAAGGTAGTTCTCTCTCTTTTTTTTTTTAGAAATCTCTAACTTTCTGGCCTCAGGACTTTTTTTTTTTTCCAAAAGATTTTTTATTTATTTATTTGACAGAGAGAGACACAGCGAGAGAGGGAACACAAGCAGGGGGAGTGGGAGAGGGAGAAGCGGGCTTCCCGCTGAGCAGGGAGCCCGATGTGGGACTTGATCACAGGACCCTGGGATCACGACCTGAGCCGAAGGCAGACGCTTAACGACTGAGCTACCCAGGCGCCCTGACCTCAGGACTTCTTTACAATCTGAAACAAATTACCGACAAAATTACTGGGGACCCTAGAAAGATTTGATTTATGTGGCTTACATCTCGATATTTTTAAATCATGGGCTTTTTTCACAAGTGTTTGTGCTTTACCAGGAAATGTATAGAGTTTTAAAATCATTCTCTTTCGTTTTCCTTAATCACCATAGTCATGTTAAGATAAACATTTTTAAGTGAGAGTCATGAGTAGGGGTCCATAGGGAGGGGTGTATGTATGTACCTCCTCCCATCCCTGAGTCCCAGCTTCCCACTGGGGGAAAACATCACAGTTGTTAGCAGAACACAGCTGTGAAATTTTTGCTCTGTGATACTGCAGAGTTCCACAGGCTTCATCAAAATAGGAATGAAAAACCCACCACTCTTTTGCCCAAACAATGTGACACCCCAGCTTTCCAAATTCTATTTGTAAAGCCTAAAGTTCCAATGCCCTTACACTTTGTCTACCCTCGTGGCCCTATACTAGACACTGTCAGGCCTCAGAAGGACTCCGTGTCTGAAATGGGAGGAAGACTGAAGGTCAGAATGGGATCAGGATGGCTTTAATGGGAGGCCAGGTGGGGGTCAGGAGAGGGGCGCTCAGGCCGGGTTGAACAAAGACCTTCACTGTGAAGTTTTTTATAGTAGCCATGGATTAGAAACACCCTACACGCCCTAATACCTAAAGAGCTAAATGTTATATAACACCCATTCGATTGATCATATGGGCAACAGAAGCATTTACACAACTTCTTACATCATGAGGATTATTTCATATTATGAATTATTTGGGGGGAGAAAGTTGGAATCAAAATTTAGAGGCACCTCAGGTCGAAATGTGTGTGTGTGTGTGTGTGTGTGGCACATATATTGCATAGAGAAAAGCCTGGAAGGAAATGTGCCAACATGATGGTGGTTGTGACATTGTGGTTAACTTATTTTTCTCTTCATGCTTTTCTTTATTATTATTATTTTTTACAGTGGCATTACTGCTATCATAAAAATCCAAATGAAATTTAGGAGAATAGTTTAGTCTTTATTTTTCTTATCCTGGCAAAATTAATTTTTTTTTAAAGATTTTTATTTATTTGACAGAGAGAGACACAGTGAGAGAGGGAACACAAGCAGGGGGAGTGGGAGAGGGAGAAGCAGGCTTCCCGCTGAGCAGGGAGCCCGATGTGGGGCTCGATCCCAGGACCCTGGGATCATGACCTGAGCCGAAGGCAGACACTTAACGACTGAGCCACCCAGGCGCCCCAAAATTAATAATTTTTAAGAAAAAAAATGCCTTGAAATTGCCTCAATGTTTTGGTGAAAACCAGAAACTTGTTATTTTCTAATCTCATTGTATTTATATTCGTGTGTTAGTTTCCTAGGGCTCCTGTCACAGAAGACCACAAACTGGGTGACTTAAAACAAGAGAAATCAGTTCTCTCACCATTCTGGAGGCTAGAAGTCTGAAATCAAGGTGTGTTGGCCTGGCTATGTTCCTTCTGAAACCTACCGGAGAATTCTTCCTTGCCTCCTTCCAGCTGCTGGGGGCTTGCCATGATCTGTGGCAGTCTTTGACCTGTAGATTCATCGCTCCGATCCGTGACATGGCTTCTCCCTGTGTCTTCATAATCATCTTCCCTCTGTGTGCATCTGTGTATCCAAATTCCCCCTTTTCATAAGGACACAGTCAGATTAGGGCCCACCCTAGTGACCTCCTATTAACCAGGTCATTAGCAATAACCCTACCTCCAAGTAAGGTCCCATTCTGAGGTACTAGGAGTTAGGACTTCAACATATCTTCTTTGGGGGGATGCCATTCAACCCATAACCCATTTTTTTTTTAAAGATTTATTTATTTGAGAGAGTGAGAATGAGAGAGAGAGAGTATACATGAGAGGGGAGAGGGTCAGAGGGAGAAGCAGGCTCCTTGCCGAGCAGGGAACCCAATGCGGGACTCGATCCCGGGACTCCGGGATCATGACCTGAGCCGAAGGCAGTCGCCCAACCAACTGAGCCACCCAGGCCCCCATAACCCATTTTTTTTTAAAGCGTTCTTCCAATTATACTCTTTGCTTATCAATTTTGTTCTGTTTATTCTATCTTTATAATGTGATATTTGAGTATCTATCCCTGTCTTCTTGCATTAAACATTTTTTTTCTTTTGTGTTTCCTTCCCTTTTCTGTTTGTCTTTATTTTCACGTTATCAGTCCTCTTGTTGACTGCCTCAACACTCAATTGGAATTTTCCTGTTTATGTGGAACTTTTGCCCCCATACAGCTCTTTTTAAAAACTTTTATGCATATTTATTTATTTTTTAAAAAATGATTATTTGAGAGAGAGAGCTTGAGAGAGAAAAAGAGAGATCACGAGCGGGGATGGGGGGTAGAGGGAGAAGCAGACTCCCCACTGAGCAGGGAGCCCTATGTGGGACTTGCTCTCTGGACCTTGGGATCATGACCTGAGCTGAAGGCAGATGCTTCACCGACTGAGCCATATTATAATGTATTTAATCATTCTTTCATTACTGGGCATTTAGGTTACTCTCAATTTCACCACTAGAATCAGTGTGACAACAAAGGGCCCTTACTATCATTTTGGGCATAAGTGAAAACTCATGTATAGGACAGTTCCTGAATAGTGGACTGGCTAGATCAAACCTTAGAAGTTTTGCAAGCTATCCAATTGTTATTTTTTTTTGAATGTATATATCCTGACTCCTGGGGCACATTTAAATTCCTGAAGACACGAGGGCTGTAGCTATTCTTTTTATTCCTCAAGTCTAGCATAATATGTCTTTCTTCTAAGAGATTCTGAGTGTTTGCTATGGTATCATTTCCACCAGTTAGCCTTTACCCAGGCTAAAAGGCAGGCAATAAGGAGAAAGCTGGTGTGCAGTGTGACCCGTTAGGTTTTTTTGTCACACATTCCTTCCCTCCCTCCCTCCCGTTCCTCTCTGATGAGAGATAATAATTTCATATGCCTTTGAGTCCCTTGTGACATTTGTTTGTCCTACCCCTTCCCAGGAATACACTGAAAACGAGGGAAATAAAAATGTATACAGTGCCATTAATCAAACAGAGACATGCGGGCGTTCGGTGGGGACCCCGAAGTCAGCCTTGCCTTTGTGGATCCTGCCTCCCTCCTCTGCAGCATTTAGAGGAAGCAGCAGGGGCCGTGTGGGGACAATGGATGTTTCGGCGACCGTCTGCCACCCATTCCCCTCCCGTGAATCACCAGCCCTGTGATGCTGTCCACCGTGCATGCTGACGTCCGCCAGCTTTGCAGCTTCCTGTCTTCCCGAAGTGGTACAGACCCAGAGCCTTTCTCCTGCAGAATCATGGGAACCTGGTGAAGGAGGACAGGCTGTTTTCCCAGGTAGGGGAGGTGACATGCAGACTCACCACAGCAAGGCACCCACGATCCCTGGTCACCAACACGCCCTAGATGTCAAAATGGACTATGGATAGGGGAAGGAAAAGATGGTTTTTGGATTGCAGGATGAGGAACAAGAATTGCTTTTCGAATTTTATGCTGGGTCTCCCCTTCTTCTTCCCAAATCCTTCCTGTTCTTTCTTTTGCTTTGAAGATACAGAAAAATGATGGCAGTTTTATTAGAAAAACCTCTTGAGAAACTAGGCTCTGTGAGACACTAATAATTCTCACTCTTGGGAGTTTCGGAATAATAATTATAATAGTTAACACTGAGAATTTGCCAAGGATGTCATGCGTGTTACCTCCGTTAATCCCCGTGATAGTGCCGTAAAAATGGGTGTCCTTATTCACCCTGCTTTACCGAGGAGGAAGCTGAAGCTTGCACCAGTTCAATGAGTTAAGTCCCAGAGGAGCCCAACCCAGGCAGTCTGAAGCCCATCGCAAACAAGTTGGGGGGATTCTGATCTCCTCCACTCCAGACCCTCTTGGTTTGGAGCCGTCTCACTGGTCCTGACTGGTGGTAATAACCCCAACCTCTCGTCCCTGCTCCATCCCTGCCTTGCTGACCCCTGATGCTCTCAGTCTTCTGCCCACCTGCTCCAGCACCCTTGCCGCTGTGGGCCTGCCCTGGAGGCCAAGCATGGCACTGCCCACCTGCCCTGGGCTTGCTGTGTGCCTGGCACTGCGCCCGGTGCTTTATATGTGACCACGTAGAAATGAACACATGGGGTATGTGCAAGCAGGAAGATTGCAGTATTCCGCGAAGGGAGTTTTGCTAACTTTGGCATAGAGTAGGCCACTTAGTTATCCTGCTCTGGACGCCCAAGTCATTCCACTAATTTCCGTTTACACGTGAATATTACAACCACGTCTTTCCATGCAACGGTTTCCTTTCTCTTTTATTTTTATTTATTTGTTTTTAAAGATTTTATTTATTCGTTTGAAACACAGAGATACAGAGAGAGAGCAAGAGCAGGGAGAGAGGCAGAGGGAGAGGGAGAAGCAGGCTTCCCGCGGAGCAGGGAGCCCGATGCGGGGCTCCATCCCAGGACCCTGGGATCATGACCTGAGCCGAAGGCAGACGCTTAACCATCTGAGCCACCCAGGCGCCCTCCTTTCTCTTTTTCTTAAAACAACTTTATGGGGGTATAGTTGATATACCATAAAATTCACTTATTTTAAGTGTGTTATTCAATTATTTGTAGTGAATTTATAGAGTTGGGCCACCATCACCACAATCTGGTTCTAGAACATTTCCCTGCCCCCCCCGCCAAAGGTGCCTCATGCCTATTTAGTCACTCTGGGGGTTTCTTTTGCCCCCTTCTGCTCCCTGTTCTGGCTTTTAAACCATTTCTCCTAGGGAGGGGGGCAGAATTTGCACTGTGGACCCTCCGGGCCTTCCTCCTCTGTTAGCGCCAGCTGGGGTGTCTGACACAGGTTCTCTTAGGCAGGGTGGATTCTGATGCTGGTGCCTCCGGGGGGAACCTCAGACAGCTGCAGCTTCTCCTTGACAACTTCACCACAGCCTCCAATATGGAGACTCCTATGGCAACACAGACCCCCACTGTAGTCCCAGAGGGATTACCGCCCCCACCTCCCCACCCCTTGCCTGTCTATGAGGATTCCATCAGATACCACATGGATCAGTGTCTGGAGATGCCCAGACTGAGAAAATGGTATTTGGACCTGAATCTATGCCGTTTCATGGGCCAAACCATGCTCTCTTTCGGTCTGGACTCTGCTTGCTAGGCTCTGTACTGAGATCCTTGCTTCTCCCCATTGGTCAGAATCCCACACATTTTTCAAGGCTGAGCTAAAACTCTACTCTGTTGTGACATTTTTCCTCACTCCCTGAACCCTCATTCCCACCTCTGACTTCTCACTGTCTTGTATTATTTCTTTGACAGTTTCTTCTCTTCCCACTTCTCTTTACTTGGAATTCCTATTAGCTAATACTGGATCCATGGATTAGGCTTATAGGTCTCTTATTTTTTCTATCATCTTTTTTATCTCTTGAGTTTAGGACCTGATTCTGGGGGGAAGTCATGTAGATTTTATTTTCCCAGCCCTTGTAATGAATTTTCTGTTTGCAATAATTTAGATTTTTTTTCAATCGCTCTTGTTTTGGTCTATGATTTTCTTTATATAGCATCCTATTTTCGTTTTATGGGTACAATTGCTAATGAGAGTTTTCGTTTTTTTGAGTTCCTATCTATAACCCAGTTTATCTTTATATTGGTGGGAGTCATTAAAAAAATGACTATTAAAAACAATCTTTATCCTGAAACATCATCCTTGTGTCCATTCAGATTGGAGTGGGAGGCAATAAAAAGAGCCTGTATGTAGATCCTGTGGGCAGGACCCAACCATTGGAGGGGTTTGCCTCTGCAAGATGGAGGGCATCCTAAATGCCAGAAGGCAGCCATGTTTCCGTGGTACCATATGATCTGTGTGGAGGAGCACTCTCTAATGATTACACTGGAGCATGGCGGGGGGCATGGGGGAGATGTTTCAAGTGAGTGCGGTGGGCAGAGCAGCCCACCTTCGGGTACACACCTTCATTTTACTACCTCGACATTCCTGCTGTGTGTGAGTCCTGAACCTCCTCGGAGGGTTTGGCTCTTTCCTGGAATGTATTCCCTTCCACGCAGATTCTAGGTCATGATTTCCTTTGATCTTTGTTTTAACACCCCATCATCCAGCCTCTGTCTTCCAGACCTTTGTTGACTTCACCTCAACAATAGCCCTTCTTTTATTTTCTTTACTGTGGTGGGGCTTATGTCCTTCGACATTTTCTTGCTACCATTTTAACAAGGACCCAGGAGGGGGGAGGCGTTAAACGCACATATTCAACCCTCCATTGAGACCGGAATTCCTACTTCCTCTACTAGTTATTTAATTAACTATCAGGATAGTTTTCTGTTGATGGGACTGAATTCCTAAAAATGTAAAGCTAGATTATAATCTGGCATGGGGACGGGATCAGGCTTGATTCTGTATTTCATGGAGCCTGGCCCAATAACCTTGTATGTGGTATGTGCTCAATATATGTTTATCAGTCGAGTCAGCTTTACCATGGAAGCCCATCACATTTTTATCTGTCCTTGCTAGTGTGATTTCTCATAGAATGGACGCACACACACATCTGGAGAGCCATTTGGACTTCCCTTTTATGGCCTTTTATATTTTAGTCTTGACTGTGCTCTTTGGCAGGATTTGAAAGTGATAAGAAAATAGAGTCAGTGCCCCATGTGGAGAGATTCATATTCTGTAACTTATCTTCAAAGTTAGAGTCCTCTCGGCTTACTTTCCTTCCAGGTCAAAGCATAACGTGGGCGTAGAACTATCCCTTTATCTCTTGTTCTTTTTGTGTTCACTAGGGAGCCTAGGTTATTTCTTCTGTAAGTCCCAGAGTTCTCTGAGTTAGGGGACACCTTTCCCTCCTTCCGCATGGCTGTGTACATCCCCCCTCTCCATACCCTGGTTTGCTCTGGACATTTTTCCTCTCAAAAGAAAGCTAAATTGGTGGTTTAATCTCATCCAAATAAAAACCATCCAAGCAGAGCAGCGTGACATGGTCCTTAAATCCCATAGGTCACATTTTTGGCAAATAGCTGTGTCCTGCAACTATCATTCCCATGATGTCCAGCTTACTCATCATCCAATGCACGACATTTTCTTGGTCTTGGAATGTTCCATCTCAATTAAAATTGGAGGAAAAAAGTCATGCTTTTACACTGTTAATAGAAAAAAAAGTACATTGTGGAGACTTTTCTCATCAAGACTATAGAAGAAGAGAAATTGCCTGCCCTCCCCTCCCCCCTCCCCACCCCCAGGGGAGACAAAGTGGTCCAGAATGGAATCAGCTCAGGAGGAAAGCCAGAAGTAATATTTCATATTTGGAAAAATTCATTGCAATATTTTTTCCTTTTTGTGCTTCAGGGACCAATAAAACTACCCAATTAATTTACAACATCTACTCACACTTTTTGCCAAGTAATACTTAACAAAACCACAATTCAGCACATTTGGAATGAGAGGATCTGGTAGAAAGAACATTGATTTGGTGGTCTAAGAAAGACTGTGCTTTGGTAACTCAGCACCCTATTCTATTATTGTGGTAAAATACGTATAACATCAAACTTACCATTTTAACCATTTTCCAGTGTACCTTTCAGTGGCATTAAGCACATTCACAACGAGCCACTGCCACCACTATCCATATACAGAACTTTTGCATTTTCCCCAACTAAACTCTGTCCCCACTGAACACTAACTCCCCATTTTCCCTCCTTCAGCTCCTAGTAACTAACGTCTATTCTACTTTTTCTCACTTTGAGTTGAATTTGCCCGTTCTCAGTACGTCATGTAAGTGGGATGGTACGTATTTGTCCTTTCGTGTCTGCCTTATTTCACATAGCATCATGTCTTCAAGGTTCACCCATGTTGTAGCTTGCATCAGAATTCTATTCTATTCTATAACGGCTGGGTGGCTCAGTCGGTTAAGCGTCTGGCTTTGGCTCAGGTCATGATCCCAGAGTCCGGGGATGGAGCCCCACATCTGGCTCCCTGCTCAGCAGGGAGCCTGCTTCAACCTCTGCCTGCCACTCCCCCTGCTTGTGCTTGCTCTCTGACAAATAAATAAAATCTTAAAAAACATTCCATTCCCTTTTAAGGATGAACAATGGTCTTTTGTATGTTTATACCACATTTTGTTCATGGAGTCATCTCTTGATGAGTATTTGGGTTGTTTCCCCCTTTTGGTTGGCGAATAATGCTGCTTTGCACATTGGTGTACAAATACCTGTTTGAGTTCCTGCTTTTACTTCTTTTGGGTGCATTCCCAGCAGTGGACTTGCTGGATCATATGATAATTCCATATTTCACTTTTTGAGGAACCATCAAACTGTTTTTCACAGCATCAGCTTCCTTTTATGGAGGGG